GAGGTCGGGGACGAGTCTCGGACAAGCCGGTCCGTGATTGACAGGTGGCGGTACGTGATCAATAGCACCTGAGTTCAGCGGCACCACCCTTTTCCCTTCGACCACGTCGACTCATGGCTGCGGACGACACCACCGCGCGGTTTCTAACGACTCGGCGCATGTGGCTACATGTACCAGGCTCAGCTGAGCTCGCTTAGACAACGCCAAGGTCGATCCTCGCGGACTTACCCTTGCTTCCACCAAAAACCACCTGGCTGTCCTATATTATCCCTGTCCATACGACGCCGAGCTTTCTCTATTTTGATTTCCCACATGTTTCTACATTAATTAGACACCGGTAAATTTATCTCTACACTATATAAACCTGTATGTCTGTACTTGCAAAATAGACAGATTTTGGACTACCTTTCAAATTCAAGCCTTCGACACGCTCCGCTTTAGTCTCGTACCTCGCCTTCGACTCCGGCCATTGTCCCCGACACTTGGACACTCCGTCCCCCAACAACCGGCTCCTTCTGCTGCCCGATACGTCCCGGAGCAGTTGAACCCTCGCATTTTTATTAATCCTGCTGCTGTTGCGTAGTAGCTGACCTGTATTTTGTTAGCTCGCGCCCGGCCGACAGCAGAGTCGTCATTTTGGAGCCCACCGCGAGGGGTTTCAACATTGATTCTGGTTCTTCGCGCAGCTTGCGAGAGAACGCTCACTCCGATCTTCGTCGAAATCTCCGTGAAGAGATATTCATTGCAGTACACGACCCCACAACCGTTTCCTTCGACAACGAGTCTCTCTTTGACCTTGTACCCGACCACCTTTCGCGGCACAACAATCTCTCGCCACATTCCCCGAGCTCGCCGACTTTAGCTTGGCTATTCAACGCACCTTTGACGCCTTCAACTCCGTCTACACCTTTGCTTCCTGCTACCCCCGTTCCTCCGATCATGGCCAATCCGATTCCAATGCCGGCTCGAGGAGATCGCAACGCTCCAGTCTTCGATTCGTCGAGGCCACATGAGCTGCGTCGCTACTTCTCTGATCTCGAATTCCTGCTGACTCGTTCTGCTGTCACGGATGCCGCCGAAAAGAAGGGCCACGCAGTTCGTTTCCTTTCGGTCGATGATCAGGAGATCTGGGAAGGATTAGCGTCCTTCTCAGATGCGGGAAAATCCTACGAAGATTTCAAGGCTGAAGTACTTGGCCTTTACGCTGGCAACGATGCTGATCGCCGGTTCAGTCTTGATGACTTAGACCGACTGGTTGGACAAACATCTCGGGTCGGGATTCATACAAAAGAGGATCTCACCCTGTTCTATCGCCAATTCCTCCACATAACAACGTTTTTAATCAGCAAGGGGCGGCTCTCTGTATCTGAACAGAGTCGTTTCTTCCTGCGAGCAATGCATCCGACTTCGTTAGCTGCAGCTGTTCGGCAACGGTTGCAGATCAAGAAGCCCGATGTGCATCCCGAGGATCCATACGATTTAACAGACCTTTATGATGCTGCTAAATTCGTTCTCGCAGGATCGTCAAGCTCGTTCCCGTCGTTGCCGTTGCCTTCGCCAAAGGCTGAGGTTATGGTGAAGCCTGATCCAGGCATTTCTGCGCTTGTCTCGTCGGTTTCAGACCTTGTGCGCATTATCGCGGCTCAGCAATCAACTCAGCCGGCTGCTCCGGTAACAACTGCACCTGCTCCTCGACGCCCACGGCCCGATGGCTGTGGCTACTGCAGCGAACTGGATCATTTTATCGGCCAGTGCCCACATGTGGTTACAGATACCCGTGCTGGGAAGTGTCGACGAAACACGGATGGGAAGGTCGTACTCCCATCCGGTGCTTTTGTTCCTGGTTCTATTCAGGGACGCAACCTACGAGAGCGCATCAGCAAGTGGCATGAGGCGAATCCAGGTCAGACTGCAGCCGCGCAGATGATGCTAGAAGTTACTCACCAAAATATGTTTTCCTCCTCGTTTTCGGGCCCGGAAATCGCGCAAACGTTTACGCTGACGGACGAGGAACGCATGGAAGTGCTGAAAGCCGAAATGTATCAGCTCCAAACGCGTGCTCAGGCAAAGCGAGCCATGGAAACGAGAAATCAGCCTGACGCACCTGATCGCACTATTCCAGCTCCGACTCGCAATTCCCCGCCTCCAGTGCACGCTCCTGTGCCTGCCCCGGTTCCACCGACCTCCGCACCTCTTCCGTCAACTCATCCGTTCGCCGCGGCTCGTGATGGCGCATATGCGCCTCCGAAACAGCGAAATCTGGGTGTGCCAGCTGCAAAAGCATTACCCCCCCGTTCTGCGGCGCCCATCTACAATCCCAAGGACGCAGCAACCGTATTTGATAGCGTTCTCGACACACCTATCACCCAGACGCTCCGGCAAGTTCTGTCAACAGCTCCCGAAGTTCGTGCGCAGATGCGCGAAGCTACGAGTTACCGCCGTGCTCCGGCCAAGACCGGCGATGTTGCTCCGCAGTTCTTCAAAGCTGCATCTGTCGCGGTCGCTGAGGAGACGGAGGCATGGCCATACGAAGATGAGGATGCGCTGGACCAGATGCTGCATCAACAGCGAGATCTTGATGCACATCTGGCGTCAATCTCCGAGCAGTTTCCAGCTGCCTATGCTAACGCGTCGAGGCCGCCTCCGCAGGATGCTTGGGTCGTGCCGGACGAGTTTGCGGTGTACTACGAGGAGATGGGGAAGCTTCCTCCGGCTGGTGATTTGATCGTTTCCGCTGAGTCTTCCGCAATTCGGTCAATCCTTCCTATTATAGATAATCAGCAGCAGGTCGAGTGCATTGTTGACAGCGGATCTCAGATTAATGCCATGTCGCAAGCGGTCTGCCATAGTCTTGGCCTTGTCTACGACCCGCGGATAATTCTGCGAATGCAGTCTGCCAACGGAACGATTACTCCGTCGCTCGGTCTTGCTCGGAACGTACCAGTTCGCATCGGTGATATTACTGTCTACCTCCAGATTCACATTATTCGAGACGCTGCCTACGACATCTTGCTCGGACGACCGTTCGACGTTCTGACTGAAAGCGTGGTCCGGAACTTTGCAAATTCCGATCAGACAATCACGATTACCGATCCGAATACGGGCAAATCTGCGACAGTGCCGACTGTTCCTCGAGGAGCTCCACGCGCTCGTCCTCAGGTTTTTTGGAGCTCGAGGAATTGATTCCAGATCAAGGAGAGTTCGCCTTGGTGGTCGAGGCCAATCCTGGCCAACATGAACGCTACGTATTTTCTGCTTATGCTTCACTTCCTTCTTATGATACCACTGCACACTTGCAATATGCTTATTTATCTGCTTGCAGTAACCTTGGTTCGCATTCCGACACCGTATTACTCGCACATACCATCGCTCAACCGGTGTTTTCTTCGAGCCGTGATTCAACTCACGGAAAACAATTCATTCCTATTTTTTCTTTTTCTTCTTCGCATGTACAACTACCAGACAAGTCCCCCTCTTCTTGTCTCTTGCCGCCGCTTCAGCACTATGCTAACAAAAAGTACAAACCAGTTGCACAGAAAATCCGACCAGTACTTGGATCAGTTCCTGATCAATTCCGGATCGAGCGCAGGATTATTGGTGATCCACTCACGGATTTGCCAAAACTCGAGCCCAATCCCCCTCTATTCACGCCAACCGGACGCTATACGGCCGAACGAAAGGCCGCTCTTGACGACGCACACTGCGGTGATTTTCTGCGGCCTGCAGAGAGAGAACTGATGCATCATTTTATGTGTTTGCATCAAGGCGCGTTTGCGTGGCAAGAATCCGAGCGCGGAAGCTTTCGATCCGACTTCTTCCCCCCCGTCGACATCCCCGTCGTTCCCCATACGCCATGGGTACAACGTAATATCCCCATTCCGCCCGGGATCTACGATCAGGTCTGCAAGATCATTCGTTCGAAGATTGCTGCCGGTGTGTACGAAGCTTCCAATTCATCATATCGCTCTCGCTGGTTTTGTGTAGTAAAGAAGGACGGGACCAGTCTTCGGCTGGTTCATTCGCTCGAACCTCTCAATGCCGTCACAATCCAACATTCCGGAGTTACACCATTCACTGAGCAACTAGCCGAGCACTTCGCGGGACGAGCATGCGGTGCTATGCTTGATCTCTACGTTGGCTACGACGAGCGCTTAATTGCGCCTTCCTCTCGTGACTACACAACCTTCCAGACGCCTTTTGGAGCGCTTCGACTCGTTACATTACCAATGGGCTGGACAAACTCTGTCCCAATCTTCCATGACGACGTGACATTTATCTTACAGCCGGAGATTCCCGAACTCACCTGGCCGTACATTGACGACGTACCCGTTCGAGGGCCGAAGACAACTTACTTGCTATCTGATGGCTCCGCCGAGACGATCCCAGATAACCCAGGGATCCGCCGTTTTGTTTGGGAACACTTCAATAACCTCAATCGCATTGTGCAGCGGATGAAGTTTTGTGGTGGCACCTTTTCGGGCTTGAAGCTGACGCTTTGTGATCAGAATATCACGGTTGTAGGACACGTCTGTACGCCTGCGGGAAGAATTCCAGATCAGAAACGCGTCGAGAAGATCTCCAACTGGGGACCATGCAAGACGCTTTCAGAAGTTCGCGCTTTCCTCGGCACCATTGGTGTTTGTCGAGTTTTTATCAGCAATTTTGCGCATCGTGCGCACGCTTTGACTCTACTCACTCGGAAGGATATGCCATTCCATTTTGGAGATGCGCAGATTGCCGCACAAGAAGACCTCAAGCGGGCGTTGCTTTCCTCTCCTGCGTTACGTCCCATTGATTACCATTCTACCGATCCCGTAATTCTTGCAGTTGATACTTCACAGATTGCCGTTGGATTTCTCCTTGCGCAATGTGATCCAGCAGCTCCAGCTCGACGGTTCTATGCTCGTTTTGGCTCTATTACATTGAACGACCGTGAGGCTCGCTTTTCGCAGCCTAAACTTGAACTTTATGGCTTGTTCCGAGCCCTTCGGTCGTGGAAATTATATCTCATTGGCCTCCGGAATCTCGTTGTTGAAGTAGACGCTCGTTACATCAAGGGAATGCTACGTAACCCAGACCTCTTGCCTTCGGCCAGCATCAACCGTTGGATCCTCGCTATCCTTACCTTCCACTTCGAGCTCATCCACGTCCCGGGGATTCAGCACGGCCCAGACGGACTTTCGCGTCGTCCTGCGCAGCCTGGAGACGAGTTAGAGCCTGAAGATGATGGGTTTGAGGACTGGATCGACGAGGTGCATGGTTTCATGCATATGATCAATGACTCACCATTTACATTGCGTTGCCAACCCGCAACTTCGATCTACGCTGCCGAGATTGCCCCAACAGAATCAACTACGCCACCGCCGCTGTCTTATGACCAGGTCCCTCGAAGTGAGAATGCGCGTCTTGCCGATGTTCGCATCGACTTGGTCCGCAACTGGCTCGAAACGCTTCGTCGTCCACGGCAGATGTCCGACTCCCAGTACCAAGCCTTCGTCCGATATAGTATGGAGTTCTACACTGTCGATGATCAGCTCTGGCGGAAGGATTCTCATGGACGTCACAAGCTCGTTGTACCTCAGCACCGGCGCCTCTTCATTTTGCGCTCTGCTCATGACGATATCGGCCACAAGGGATTCCACGCGACCAGAGCGCTGCTTCTCGAACGGTTCTGGTGGCCATTCCTTGCACAAGACGTGACTTGGTATCTTCGAACCTGTCATCTCTGTCAGCTGCGACAAACTCGGAAGCTTGTAATACCACCCACGGTCGCTGTTCCCGCCCCGCTCTTCTCGAAGGTGTACATGGACACAATGTACATGCCTCCTAGCGGCGGATTCCGCTACATTGTTCAAGGAAGGTGCTCGATTTCGCACTTCCCCGAGTTCCGGATGCTCCGGCGCGAAACAGCGGCCACCCTGGGAGAGTGGATCTTTCAAGACTTCATTTGCCGATGGGGAACACTTACCGAGATCGTTTCCGACAACGGTACTCCGTTTGTGAAGGCTCTGGGGTATCTAGAAGCTAAGTATCATGTTCATCATATCCGCATTTCGGGATATAACTCACGCGCCAATGGGATGATTGAGAACTCGCACTTTGATGTCCGCGAGTCGCTCTTCAAGGCCGTGGACGGCGACCAGAAGCGCTGGAGCTCAGCCGCATACTCGGTGTTTTGGGCGGATCGTGTCACAGTTCGCCGGAGAATGGGTTGTTCACCCTACTTCGCGGTCACTGGGACGCATCCCCTTCTGCCGCTCGACATATCAGAAGCAACGTACCTGCTTCCGCCTCCTGAATCGGTGCTTTCGACCACCGAACTCATCACCCGACGTGCTATTGCCCTCCAGAAGCGACGAGAGGATCTTGCGGCGCTCCATTCCCGTGTATACGAAGCCCGACTCCACGACGCTGCCCGGTTCGAGTTGGACCACTCAGTAACGATGCGCGACTTCGACTTCAAGCGTGGCGACCTCGTTTTGATGCGGAATACAGCGATCGAGAAGTCGCTGAGCGCAAAGATGCGCAAGCGGTACCTTGGCCCTCTAATTGTCATCTCGCGCAACCGTGGGGGTGCGTACATTCTCTGCGAACTTGACGGCGCCGTCTTTCACCGCCCAATCGCCGCCTTCCGAGTAATTCCGTACTTCGCCCGGACGTCCATCCCACTTCCCTCCCTCGAAGATTTCTTGGACATTTCAACCGAAAAGCTGCGCGAGCTCGAGCAGTCGACACTGGAGGATCCGGACGGAGATGATGACGAAGAACAGCCTGAGCTAAGGCAGGATTAATGGACGAAGAAGATTTCAGTCGGGAGGACGCACCAGAAGGTTCTCCGGCCTCAATTCACCCTTTCCCAAAGTCGCATCCTCCGATTCGTCGTCGTATTGCGCGATTCTTCAGAACCAAGGCTATGAAAAGCTACTGAGCCTTCCTTTTCAATTTGGAGTTGCTTACAACGGACCCACGCACCTTCGAATGACCGAGGACGGTCATATTTTCAGTCGGGAGGAGATGACGCGCTTGCTCGCACGTATACGCAAGTCGAAGACGCAGATGGAGGTCGGGGACGAGTCTCGGACAAGCCGGTCCGTGATTGACAGGTGGCGGTACGTGATCAATAGCACCTGAGTTCAGCGGCACCACCCTTTTCCCTTCGACCACGTCGACTCATGGCTGCGGACGACACCACCGCGCGGTTTCTAACGACTCGGCGCATGTGGCTACATGTACCAGGCTCAGCTGAGCTCGCTTAGACAACGCCAAGGTCGATCCTCGCGGACTTACCCTTGCTTCCACCAAAAACCACCTGGCTGTCCTATATTATCCCTGTCCATACGACGCCGAGCTTTCTCTATTTTGATTTCCCACATGTTTCTACATTAATTAGACACCGGTAAATTTATCTCTACACTATATAAACCTGTATGTCTGTACTTGCAAAATAGACAGATTTTGGACTACCTTTCAAATTCAAGCCTTCGACACGCTCCGCTTTAGTCTCGTACCTCGCCTTCGACTCCGGCCATTGTCCCCGACACTTGGACACTCCGTCCCCCAACAACCGGCTCCTTCTGCTGCCCGATACGTCCCGGAGCAGTTGAACCCTCGCATTTTTATTAATCCTGCTGCTGTTGCGTAGTAGCTGACCTGTATTTTGTTAGCTCGCGCCCGGCCGACAGCAGAGTCGTCAACGCCAAGTCCTTTCCAGTAGTAGTTGCATTATTGAGAACGTCGCACATTGCTCAGCCCTTCAGCCCAAGTTCCCATCTGCAGAGAATGACCCTTTTGAGAAGTCGCCGCAACAAAAGATCCCTTTTTGGGGAATGGTCGCGGTCCAAGCGTTCGTCAACAATGGTCCTGAGCCTGGTATAGACTCATAAGACCAGTTCCACAGTAGTGGTCTGACTGCCTTGCTATTGTCGACACTATCCACAGTCGTTGACTGGGCAGTAGACCCTTAAGTCCTACTGAGCGCAACACTGTCAACCGCGACACGATACACCGAGTGGTTCAAGAGTAAGCTCTGTAAAAGCGCAAAAATACGCCCTTACAGAGCTGGTGCAGAGCGCGTCTGGTAGCCAGCCTATCAGCGTAGCGAGCCATCTTTTTTCTTGACAAAGAAGAATGCCGATGCCATGGGTGATTTTGATGGCCTGATCCGTCCACTGGCCAGGTTCTCTTGTAAGAATTCGTCGAGTTTGACTTGTCCATTGCGTGATAACGGGTACACCTTGCAGTCCACTGCTTTGGAGCCAGGTTTGAGCTCAATCGCATGATCCCATGCCTGTCGGTCCGGTAGCGAGTCGAACAATTCCTTGGCAAATACCTTGACAAATTCCCTATATTGCTCCGGAATCTTTCCCTCGGTCATTCTCTCCTTCTCCTTTTCTGCTTCTTCTGCGAATTTCTGCACCGGCGTTTCCTTCAGCCGCAGATCCACTTCCTTCCCAAAGTCGACCAACAGGATCGATTCTCCTTCTTCCAGATCCGGTGTGCCCGTGTCCAGGTTGATTGCATCCATGTCAATCATTGCTTGATGTTCCTCGTGACCCCTCATGTGACACCGCTCTGGGCATCAGCTGAATCTCATGGTCTGCTCCTGCCAATCCACCTCGGGGTTGTGTTCCATCAGCCAATCAAGACCGATGAAGATCCGGGCCTTCCCTAAGCACGTTAGGAGGAACGTGCGTGTCTCTACATGAGGGCCAATTCTCATCCTTAGGTCGACGTAGTGCGTGATCCGACCGCTGATGTTCTCGGTGTTGTCGGCATTACGAGCCACAATGGGTTGTGGAAGCTCTTGGATATCCAACTTCTCCGCCCGTGCGTAGTCGGTATCGATGCAGCAGGTACTGCAGCCACTATCGAGTAGCGCCTTGACTCCGCGCGTCTTTCCTGAGTCCAGGCCCGTGATCTGTACATACACATCCATCGAATGTCTCTTCCTTTCGGCCTGGTAGTTGCGCAGTTCCTGCGCCAGTCTGCTGGGTTGCGGGCCCTTCTGTCTCTCGGCTGCCCATTTCCTTTGAACGGCATCCGGCACCCTCGTGCGTTTGGGTGCTTCTGGAACCCTGATTTCGGCAGATTCCTTGGGCGCTTCCTCCTTTTTCAAGGATTGAGCCTCCGGAGCGATGCTCCCCTTTTCGGTCTTTGTTGACGTGGTTCCTTCTCCACGAGCCATAAATACGTAGGAGTCCAAAATTAATTTATCCGCAGCTTTCTGATCCTTTTTACTCTGTAAATACTCTCTATTTAAAGCTATTTTCTTTTGACGTTCCTTTTCCATATCAGCAACAAGAAAATCATGAATATTAGTACGTAGGGAGTCTGAGATCGTGTATGCATGAGGAGAATCGTTCATATCTCTAATCGAAACAAGTATAGAAAAATGTCCATAGTCCGGACGCTCCACCTCCTTGGCTAGAGGAGTGGAGCGCTTCAAAAACCCTTCTCACGCAGCTTCTCGGCAATCTCCTTGAGGAACTCGTTGTCCTTGTCCCCGTTCTCGATCTCTTCCAGCATTGTGGCCCGATTGAAGAACGTGCGCTTCTTCCTCGGTTCCGGACAGTTCCGCGCAATGTGCCCAGGCTGCTGACAGTTGTAGCAGATGATATTGCGGCCGCGGGCGTGGGTGCGATCGATTTCCATCGGAACTGGTTTGTTGGCAGCGGGTCGGGCCGGGGCGGGTGCAGGTGTCATTGGGGCTGCCTGCGGGCGGAATTGGGGAGGCGGTCGTGGTGCGGATTGCGCATGCGATGCTTTGCGCAGCTGATCGCGTAGAGCGTTCGCCTCGATGTTGACACACCAATTCTTGAAGGCACCATATGCCTTGGGCAGGGGAACACCGGTGTTGTAGAGGCGGCTCGCAATCTCGCTGCTGAGCCCGCGCTCAAGAAACTCGATGAGGATATTGTCCTGATCCCCCTTCTTGTACTCGCCCTTGCTGTCGGTGGAGGTGACCACGTTGTACCCCGCGTCTGCAGCCAGCATTTCGAAGTCGGAGATGTAGTCCGCAAAGGACCGCCTGCCCTGACGAAGGGCCATGAGTCGGGCAGCAGCGACTTGTTCTGCGTTAGAGTCTCCAAAGGCCCTCAGGAGCTCCTCCAGGAAGGTTGTCGTGGTGACTCCCGCCTTCATTCCTTGGAAACCCTCGAAATTATGCTGCTTCCAGTTCATCGCCCATCTCGAGCACCTCAGTTACCACCGCCATCACCCGGTTGCACCCCCGCGGGGGTCCTCCTGGGTACCCTCAGACGTAGCTCTGAGGGTACCTAAAAGGTACCCCCCTGCGGGGCCCGCGGGGGGGATTTGGTCCATTTGGGGGCGGGGGCATATGCGGGGGTCAGCAGGGGGGGGTGAACGAAAATATATACATGTGACTTGTCTACATCTGTAAGAGCGGGTAGCTGGGCGGGAAAAAAAAATCAATCACGTGGAAGCACCGAGCGGGCGGGATGGCGGGCGAAAAAAGCACGTGACAGATGGAACCAAAAATTTTAAAACGCTGGCGGGGGCTGGCGGGGGTGCGGGCGGGGTCATTACCGACCTCCCGCATGCCACGGCGGGTGGTGGGCGCATATTCACGTGACTTCATCCCGGCCATTTTGCCACCATTTGGTCGGGTTTTTGCATGCTCTCCACGATGGCGCACAATGCAGCGGATGGCGGCCAAAACGGTCACGTGACTGGGCGCAAAAAAAAACCAAATGGCTGCCGGAAAAAATTCCGATGCTATCCCAATTGTGTCTAGCTTCGATAATTAAGAAAGTGAAGCACTGAGCGCAAAATGCCCGCCGCACTGCGGTAATGATGGGAATGTTCCCATCATTTTGTGGGGTCACCCGTGCGGTTGATCAGTTCCATGTTTAACCACTCGTGGTATTCGTTGCATTGTAGCCGCCTTTTTGAGGAAAAACAACAGCTTTTACAGAGTGTACTACTCTGCTCCCTGAGAAGCTCTGCACTGTGTAACTCTGCCTCACGCCGGGGATTATGATGTTGATCACAGAAAGAAATTCAAATAACCAGGGTAAAATAATCCTAGTGGTATTTCCACATGATTCAGGGCTCTGTATCATGGAATCCCAAAATTTTAGACCATTCAACTTGTCCTAAATCGCCCTTGACTATGAGTTTGGTGTTGTACACAATCTGTTGTTGTTGTGGGGTGCACGCGGGGGTGCGTGCGGGGGTGCGTGCGGGGGTAAGCGCTGGGCTGCTCCTAGTAATCTGCTGGCCTGGCTTGCTCTAGAAGCGTGAAGAGGACGGTTATGGAAATTTTCTTTGACAAACAGCGTTACACCACTTCGGTCTGGAATGAGAGCTCCCAATGAAACTGTTCACTGTCAGGGACTGGTAGGGGTCAGTGAAAGCTTGCATGATTGAACTCCGTGCACTGAATACTACTGATTGACATTTGAGAGAATTAAAGGCCCCTCAAGTTCGATGAATGTTGAGGGAGGTGTGGAAGCATGAACAGTATGTTTTTGGGTGGGGTCAGAAGGCACTACTATTCAAGCATTCATTACCTGACCATGTAATGGTGCAACTCAGCTTCTGAAAATCCATCCCTTAAAATTCCATAGCCAGAAGAGGGGGGGGGGCAGATCGATGTCGTGTATGAAAGATGTACAACAGGACGTTGTAAAAAAATATATCGAAACTAATATACGGATGAATGTATGCAGATAAACCCCACGATCAAGAAAGGACATGCAAAATTGAACGTAACACCTTCATTTTTTCGCGAGCTCCTCCTGGACTGCGCTGCGAATAGCACCTGCCATCATTGCTTGGAAGGACGGGGCAGAGAAAAAGCTAAGCAGAGCGGTGGCGGGATCGGTCACTTGAGCAGCGGCGGCAGTCTCGGTCGATCCAGTCGCTGCCGTGGAAGTCGACGCTGTGGGTGCAGCAGCAGTGGCTGCGGGGGTATCGGCGGAGGTGTCGACGGGGGGTGCCGCGGGGGGTGCCGCGGGGGGTGCTGAAGAGGGTGCCGCCGTTCCTACGTTGGCTGGCGTCAACTGTGACACCAACGTCGGAGCTTGAGCTGGAACAACAGCCCCTTGCTTCTTGGTGGCAGCGCGAGGCGCCCGCGCAGCAGGGGGATCGTCCAGCGTTTGCTGTGAGCTGCTGGCAACTGCATTGACTTGGCGGGGGCGAGGGCGGGGGCGAGGGCGTTTCTGTGGGGGTGTCTTTGCCACTTCCTCCTCACTCTCAGGGGAAGAGAGCTCGGGGGACGGCGCGTTCATCTCTTGATAGCGACGCTTGTTCTGTCGCGGCAGCTTGCGCGTCAGAACTACTGGAAATGATTTAGATCTGCGCTTCTCTTTGGGGAGAATGAAGCCGAGGGGAAGATTGTCATGTCCATATAGGGTAGCGAGGTACTGACCGGCAGGACCTTCCTTTTGAGCATCCGATGTCTCCGAGAGAGCAGACGCAGTTGGGACGTATTCCGAGGCCGGTGTCGACTCCTGACGCTGCTTGCCTCCACCAACTTGGTGCGACGGTTGAGGTGGGGCAGCAGTGCTGGCCTTGGCACGCTTCGGATTGCGACGGGGAGCGGGAATGTCCACGGAATCAGCCTTGCGCTTCTTCCCACTGGCCTTGTTGACAGCAGGCGGGGGTAAGGCAGGCTGCGGCATGGGAGACGACGCTGCGTCAGTGACGGGAGGTGCGGCGGGGGGCGCGGCGGGGGGCGCGGCGGGGGGTGCAGCGAGGGGTGCAGCGAGGGGTGCGGCGGGGGGTGCGGCGGGGGGTGCAGCGAGGGGTGCAGCGAGGGGTGCGGCGGGGAGGTGACCACAGCGCTTGCGCGTTGGTGAGCTCAATACGACAGGAGCAGCCCCAGGTGCATGCAAAGCCGGTTGGGAGACCACAGGAAGAGCGTAGTCCCCGGCTTCGTTCTTCACCACGATGCTGAAGTCCAAGTATCGTCGCGTTGGGTCTGGGTCCAAGAGGTTCAGCCTGAAGTAGCACGGGTCCCCCTGTCCAGTCACCCCGAGGACGAACTCGGAACCACTGAAAGCAATGGTTGTTCCAACGCGCTGGGGGAACGCAGCGAGCACGGGCATTCCTGGAATGAAGGTCAATTCGTGCCAAAAGGTGTTTATCAGGAAGCGCTCACGGGGATCGCGGCAGTCGTTGCCAAAAAAGGAAATACCCGCTGGCTCGCGCCCCTCGAAGACCTCGTTCAGGGAGAACTTGATGGCGGCCGCCAGTGAGCTCTGTTGCGATGCCGGCAACGAGCGAATGCCCTTGTCTGCGTGTCCGAGCTTCGTCGGAAGGGGAAGAAGATGGGGCCATCCGAGGACCATGTACCCTGCCTTGAAAAGCGCCGGACCGGCGGTCTTCCATGGGAACGTCCTTTGGCTCATGCTTGTCAACGTACCAAGCGGTGATAGGCTGGCTACCAGACGCGCTCTGCACCAGCTCTGTAAGGGCGTATTTTTGCGCTTTTTACAGAGTTTACTCTTCAACCACTCGGTGTATCGTGTCGCGGTTAACAGTGTTGCGCTCAGTAGGACTTATGGGTCTACTGCCCAGTCGACGACTGTGGATAGTGTCGACGATAGCAAGGCAGTCAGGCCACTACTGTGGAACTGGTCTTATGAGTCTACACCAGGCTCAGGGCCATTAGTGACGAACGCTTGGACCGTGACCATTCCCCAAAAAGGGATATGTCGTTGCGTCGACTTCTCAAAAAGGGTCATTCTCTGCAGATGAGAACTTGGGCTGAAGGGCTGAGCAATGCGCGACGTTCTCAATAATAGAACTACTACTGGACAGGACTTGGCGTTACAAGACTTAAACCATCTTGTCGCGGCAACTCCCGGTTTTGAGTTGGACGTTTTCCTCAGATCATGCCACGACGACGACTTGTCACATGTCAGGATCCATTCGATCACGGGACATTGTGGACGCGTCGCGGCGACACTTCCAAGTGTCACGGCGAGTCGCGCCCATACTCAAACACACTAAAATCGATACGGCTAGATCCGTGAACCGAGCCATGTGGGAGACGACTGGCGTGCCTAGAGCCATACGGCTTCTTGGGGCGCCCACGCTGGTCTCACATGCCAAGACATACCCGTTGGCCAATCCAGCACGTCGTATTCCAAAAGTATGACGCGGTGGGTTGACCCACATCAAAAGTATCATATGGACTATGGGGCGGGGTCCTGATCACTCAGGACCTGTCCGATCGTTCAACTTTTCAATTACCCTAAAAGGCAACCGATCTTAGATAGCGTAGCTACTATGCAGTTGTACAGGACTTTACTAAGCAGCGTCGTAGACAGTATAAGTAGCACGTCGTCTCTTTGTATTAGGGAGCTTTCCCCCGGACTGCGAATCACTATCATTTCAGATTGTTTTGTACAATTTGCGTGCCGCGTGATTCCACCCTAAGAAGTTCTGCCATCCCTGCCCGGTCGCGACGAGTTGCTCCCTGAGCACTTGTAGCTACTGTGATTTGAAGTTTTGAGTTGAGATATCAGAAAGTCGGATTCGCCGCATCTGGTATTGTCGCGGCATTTAGTGTCGTCGCCTTAGGGCTTTGTTGAGATCGTTCCACACCTCTAGCTTGGCAGTGCGTCGACTAGTTGTGCTCGGGTTGTTTTGGTCAGTTGGCAGTGCGTCGACTTGAGAACTTTGGTTCCACACTTCTTGCTTGGCAGTGCGTCGACAAGTTGTGCTCGGGTTTTGGACATTGGATATTGGCTGTTAGTTAGCAGTACGTCGACGCGGCATTTTGGTTCTACTAGTTGGCAGTGCGTCGACTCAGTACTTTTGGTTGTGTCAGTTGGCAGTGCGTCGACTTGACATTTTGGTTCTACTAGTTGGCAGTGCGTCGACTCAGTATATTGGTTGTATCAGTTGGCAGTGCGTCGACTTGATATTTAGGCTTTGCGTCACCATCTGGACGCTGTCGCTACAAGGGATCTTAATACTTCGTATTAAGCTCTGACTTGTTATATTGTTGTTGTGGATTGGATTAGTGTTGGTTGTGGTCGTATAGAAGATATTGGTTGAGACACCATTGTTTGCTATATATATATATTCTTGTCGTCGACTCCGTCTCCGCGACTATTGGATCTGCGTCTATTGAGAGTTGTGATTCTGGTGCTCTGTCCACCCCGAAGCCCTCGCATCTTTCACACACTGAGAAGCTGATTACGAGGAGTGTGAACGTGTTTATATTTGGGTTTACTTTCATAGTAGATTCACTAGTGAGCACGCCCTCAGCATTTCAGCGGTTCGCTCCCGACTTGAGCCATCGACAACGCGCTCAGGTCGTCAAGGAGGTTGTCCCACAAGCGGTTCACCTTCATCGTCCGTTTTGAGCGCAAGGTGGAAGGACCGTCCAAAGCATCCAAGATGGTCTGGATGCCCTCCTCAACCTCCCGCTGCGACATCGGAGCCGTCTCCAGCGGCTGAAGGGGGTGACGTGGGGGAGCCCGTGCCCGCAACTGAGCCAGGGAGTCAGCAGGAGACGAGGTAACAGTGGTGCGCGCAGAGGCACGGGTGGGGGTGTCGGCGGGGGCGCGGGCGGGGGTGCGAGCGGGGGCGCGGACGGGGGTGCGAACGGGGGTGATGGTGGGAGCACGTGCAGGGCTTGAGGTGGGGTCGTCCGCCCCGGTGGCATCTGGACCGTCTTCGCCTTCGAGCAGAGCGTCGCGTGCCTGATCTGCGTCGTGGATCATCAAGCCACTGGAATGAAGATAAGTCAATAAACTGTTCCATCCACATGGGTAAAGGAGAGACTCACGCAACGTGATGCTGAGCTCGACTGAGCAGTTCTTCGTCGCTCAGCTCCCCATGGTACAGAGTGGACATGAACTGAGATAATCCCTCACTTGCAACAAGGGACGCAAGGCGGCTGTCATGCGATGCAACGCCTCCGAGTGCAATCATGAGCACTTGGAAGTTGCCACTGGTCTCGCCACGCTTGATCTGAATTGGATTAGAAGGGATGGTAAGCTGGATGGTAAGGTGCTCACCAGGGCCTTCATTTTGCCCAGCCATCCATCAAAAAGTTTTGGGGCTCTCTTGGCTTCTTACCACCACGTGCACCTGATCGGCGGCCCGCGACCGAAACCCTCCGACCTCGCAAACGCACGACGGGGCACGTAGCGGCGCGCACGCTTAGTAGCTTGAATACTATCTACCCTACTTGACACAGCAAGTGATAATGTACGGGGCAGGTGGACGACGTAGCAACACACCCGCGAGCTCAGCGCCCACGAGCGCCAGTCAGACACAGCGAACTATGGGCACCAGAGCGACGCCGCTGAGGGAGATGCATCTAAGAACGGACCTCACAAGGGAGCAGCTATACAAAATGGAATCGGGCATAGACCTCAGCACCATAACCACCCAGGAAGCAACGAGAAGTCTGATAGCGAAGGGATTCTTAACGGAAACGGTGAGTGATACACCGACACACAGCGACCTGGCCCTGGCCATACTTCGCGCAGCGGCCACGGGTGGCTTGTCAGTGATAGTCGCAGACGCACTACGCACCGTAGCACACTTGGTCGAAACGCTCAACGGCCCCACGCACATCAAGCAGCTAGGAGAAGACATCCAAGGGGTGCTAAGGATTCTACAAGGAGAACTCGCCGACCCTAACGACGACGAAGAGGGGCATGGACGGCCTACACTGATGACGGCAAAGCTCACCAACACCGTCGAGCAGCACTGCAAAACCCTGGAACGAGCCACCACACAACTCGAAACGTGCATAGACGAAGCGTCAGCGCGGGCAGCAAAAGCCGCGGCTCACACAACGAGCGCGCTCCAAGCGCGCACCGTCACATACGCAGACGCGGTACGAGAAGCACCACCACCTCAGCTGGCGACAGCTTTCGCGCAATCTCGAGCCCGCAGACTACAAATCACCATACGCCCGGAACGCGACACAACGGCCACATGGCAGAACCTAAACGACAGAGAGACCCTCACAAAAGTCAACATCGCGCTGACCACGGCACACGAAAACGAAAACACGAACGGCAACGAAAAGCCAGAGGAGCTGAAAGCACGAGCATCGCAGCGCACCAGGAATGGCGCTTTGATCATACACATGACGACAGTGGAGGGCGCAGAATGGATACAACAGCCGGAAAACATGCGGGCCTTCTTGGGAGCACTAGGAGGCACCACCGTACACACCCCGCACAACTACACTGTCATAGCGGACTTTGTACCAGTGACCTTCGACCCCGAATCACCCACGGCCATCAGCGAGCTGGAAGACAACAACGGGCATGAAAACGGGCAGATTGCCAGCGCGAGATACATCAAGCCGATGGAACGGAGGGCGCGTGGACAGAGGGTCGCCCACGTTACGATCGGATTCAAGACAGCGGAGGCGGCAAACAGAGCCATAAAATTCGGGCTGTTCGTAGAGTGCACAAAGGTAAACTGCAGGAAGATGCTACAAGAACCGACAAGATGCGTCAAGTGTCAATTCTACAACACGGGGCACGTAGCAAGAACCTGCAACTCCATCCACGACACATGTGCAAGATGCGGAGAAATGCACCGCACCAGCACGTGCGCCGCCACAGATGAACAGGTAGCATGCTCGAACTGCAGGGCTAACAATCTCCCAGCACATGGACACGGAGCCGCTGACCGAACATGTCCGGTGTTTGCCAAGACCCTACGAGAAAGTCGCCAACGCAACACCGATGCGCAGTACCGATACTACCCAACCGCCGATGACCCGGACAGCTGGGAGACCACCCATGCACACGCGCCAGACATCCAGCACCAAGGGCGCACCTTCCAAGGTGGAAACCGACCAACGACACATCCACCGGCAACGACAGCGAACACAATCACGATCACGCCACGTGCAACACAACGGCCAGACACACATACGGAACCACCGGCACTACAAGCCCAGAGGCCAGCTTGCCAGGCGCGCACCTTTGGAGACCAAATACGACCAGGGACGACCCTGCGGCAGACCACTTTGCCCTTCCAGCCAGCACACCGCGCCATACGCCCACTCTCACCGCCATATTCGACGGGACCGTACCCCGGATCACAGCCCAGATCATGGGACAACCAAGTCAGCGAACAAGGAACCGGCAACCCTCTTTTCCCGCGGGCAACCCCGCCGAACAAAGAATGAATCACAACAGGGGAACGGACTTTTGGCAGGGCAAAACCGTCAGCGTGTGGCAACAAAACATCAATAAGTCCCTCCACGCGCAACTAGATATGCTGAACTCCCTACAGCCATCGCGCTACAACCTAGCGTTGATCCAAGAACCCCACATCGACTTCAGGGGCGTTTCCAGAACAAACTACCACTTCACGACGGTATACCCCACCACGCACGACTCGGATCCCAAAGCAACCCGATCCCTCATTCTAGTCGGCACGTCGATTCCCTCAGCCAAGTGGACACAAATCAAAATCGACTCTCCCGACATCACCGCCATAGAAGTACGAACCGACCAACACACAATACGCATCATGAACATCTACAACGACTGCAAACACAACCGCAGCTTGGAGGCTCTGGCGACGTACATCACGGACCCACAGAGCCGACCCACCCCGGGAAAGGAGCTATCGTACATATGGGGGGGAGACTTCAACCGGCACCACCCAATCTGGGACGAAGAACGGAATCACCACCTTTTCACGAACCGCAACCTCCAACTCGCACTGAAACTATTACAGATGTTAGGGCGGCACAAGATGGCGATGGTACTGCCAAAGGACATACCCACACTCAAAGCGCACGCGACGGGGAACTACACCCGCACGGACAACATATTCTGCTCTGAATCCATCACGGGGAACTTCATCACATGCGGGACAGCCCCCGCGCTACGCCCCGCAAAAACAGATCACATCCCGATCTTATTCTCTCTACACTTGGACATTGGAAACAGAACCTTCACACCGCGACCGAACTGGAGGGCAACGGACTGGCAGGAATTCAGGAAGACACTGGGGGCCGAACTCGAACGGCGCCCACAGAACGCGATAAGAACAACGGTTGACATCGAAACAGAGATCAGGAAGATAGACGAAGCTGTGGCAGTGGCAGTGGAGGCACACGTACCAATGTCTAAGCCCTCCCCCTACTCCAAGCGATGGTGGACCCCCAGCCTATCAGACCAACGCGCACAGCTCCGCAAAGCACAGAACCGCGCATATGCCAGGCGCCACGTGCCGGACCACCCAGACCACGAGCGCGCACGACAGCTACGAAACGCCTTCTCAAGGGCCATAGCAAGCGCAAAGAAGACTCACTGGGAGAAATGGCTCGATGGCTTAACGGAGACAGACATATGGAACGCGCAAAGGCTGGCAGAAGGACCACCCACGGACGGAGGCAGGGTGCGTATCCCAGACATACAGTTCAGAACGCAATCTGACGGACCAACGCGAACGGCAACAACCAATCCCGACAAAGCCAAAGCGTTCCACCGGGAATTCTTCCCGCCCACAACCCGCCAAGCCGCAAACGGAACTCCCCAACAATATCCACCGCCGGCGTACGCGTGGAAGCCCCTCTCCGATTCGATAATACACCGAACAATCGCAAAGCTCAAACCATACAAGGCCCGACAGCCGGGATCGATACCAAATTGCGTATACAAATACAATGCACACGTACTTGTACCCCGCCTGGGCCCAATATTCAGAGCCGGCGACGAACTCAATTACTACCCAAAGGAATGGAACCACACGCATTCCATCGTGCTACGCAAACCAGGGCGAACCGACTACACCAACCCAGCGAGCTACCGACCAATAGTGCTATCCAAGGGGCACCCAGGACTGGAGAACGCGGCACGCACAATGCAGATCACGATGGAAGCAGAGAAGGTCGGCATTCTCCCGGTGACCCAATACGGAGCGAGACCGGGTCGCGCCACAACGGACGCAATACACATGGTGATCAAGACAGTGATGGACGCGTGGAGAAGCAAGGAGGTAGCCAGCGTCTTATGCATGGACGTAAAGGGTGCGTTCCCAAGCGTGGATCTGAACACGCTCATACACGACATGCGAATGGCGGGTATCCCTGAGGAGCATACCAAATGGATGGCACGGCGCTACGAAGGGCGCAAAACCCTGATAGCTTTCGACGACTACACATCAGAACTCATAGACGTTCAAGGAGGGCTAGACCAAGGCGACCCTCACTCCGGAATATCCTACATGATATACAACGCACAGCTGGCTGAGATCCCACGACCAACCCACGGCGAACACGGCGTAACATTCGTAGACGACGTGACAATCATCACAACTGGCAGCTCCTTTCGGGAAACCCACAACAAACTGAGAACAATCATAACCGGCAGTGGAGGCATAGACGACTGGGCGGCCGACCACAACGCAATCTTTGGACCCGCTAAGTACCAGCTGTTAGACGCATCACGAAGACTAACACCGGCTACCTTCCAGCCACACAAACGTGTACCAGAGCCCCGACCAAACCTAAGGCTGGGCACGCATCTCATCAAACCGGCTTCCTCGGTCAAGCTGTTAGGAATCCACATCGACCAACAACTGAGATGGAAGGAACAGCGTGCGGCAATCTTAAGGAAGGGACAGGCATGGCTGTCAAAGGTCGGCCGTTTTGGTAAACCGACGAGAAGCATACGCCCAGCACAGATGAGACGGCTATACTTAGCAACCTGCCTACCGAGACTACTGTATGGCGCGGACATCTTCCTAAACCCGACAACACGGAAACACCGAGCCTCAAAAACGCGCAGTATCCTACCCCAGCTTCGAACGATCCAGCGGCGCGCAGCCATCCTCATCACCGGGGCCATGGCCACGACAGCGACAGACGCCCTAAATGCCCACGCCAATCTCCTCCCGATCGAGCACACCATCGACAAACACCGGCACCGGGCAGCCACAAGGCTAGCAACGCTCCCACGCACGCACCCCATACACAAAGCGCTAAAGGAAATACGCCGGACAAAGCCAAGGAAACACAAAGCGCCGCTGCAAGCGCTAATGGAGGAGTACGACATCAACCCGTTGGCGATGGAAAAGATAGCGGCTGTGCGATATGAGCCAGGATGGGAACCCATGACGACCACGGAGATACGAGGTTCGAAAGAGGCAGCCATAGAGGCGGAAAGGGAAGACGAAGCAGAGTGGAAGGCTTACACAGACGGCTCGGGTATTGGTGGACACATAGGTGCGGCGGCAATCTTATACCGGGCCGGCACTAAAGTGGCAACGACGAGGAAACACTTGGGCAGCGCGGCGCATCACACGGTATACGAAGGCGAGGGAATCGGGCTGAATCTAGCCGTCGGCCTACTGAGAGCGCAGCAAAACGTGGAGGGGAATGTATCCGTTTTTGTTGACAACACGGCGGCGATCATGGCCACACACAACACGACCTCAGCACCCTCGCATTACATATGGGACGCCCTACACGAGGCCCTCGAACAGCTACACGAAACACACCCGCGAGCCCGCGTCACCTTCAAGTGGGCTCCAGGCCATAAAGATATTCAGGGCAATGAGGCGGCAGACGAAGAAGCAAAGAAGGCGGCGGACCCAGGGACACAAAGCGACGGCGACGCATACTTACGCCGGCCCCTACGTGGCACGCTCCCACGCAGCAAATCAGCGACAATCCAGGACTTCCACGAAGGACTGAGGACCCGAACCCAGAATGAATGGGTCACCTCGCCTAGATACCCCCGCCTACGCGCGCTGCTACCCAAACCACTAGCAGGACTATGGCTAAAACACATCGCAGCCCTTCCCAAGACGCACGCATCCATCATGATTCGGTTACGCACGGGCCACCTGCCACTCGCGCGACACCTGCACACCATAAAACGCGCCGACTCACCAGTATGCCCTTGCTGCCACCGCGAAGACGAATCCGTACGCCACTACCTCCTGCACTGCCCAGCGCACGCCAACGCCAGGGGGAACTTAATACGGCGCGCAGGCCGCCACGCCCAGGACCTCGAGAAACTTCTATCGCGACCTGACCTCACCCGCCACCTACTGCGTTTCGTCGCCCAAACCGGCCGATTCAGAGCGATATTCGGCGAAATAGAGGACCTCCCAGAACCGACCCCACAACGAAAGCGGCCGAATCCACGCCCGGCCCCAACCCGAACAAGGTGCACCACCCGGCAGGCAACCAGACGACAAGCGTGAACGAACAGGACTGTTTTCCTGTAATTATATATGTACAATACTAACCACACCATAGCATGGCCCCGGCCAGCAGCGCACAACCAGCTGCACCCATCGCGAGGTGGACAAAGCTTTGCGAAAGGAAACCGACACGAGTGGGACGCCCAATACAAAAAAGAATAATTAGTGTATAGAGAGTCCCTACCATATCTTTAGAGACGAAGGGGAATAAAAGAGGAAATTAATAATAATAATAATCAAAAAGTTTTTGCCGGTTTCCCAGCGTCTGCAACTCCGTCATTTGCTCCCACTCGACGAAGGTGTCGAGAATCTCCTCCAGCCCAGTGGAGCCGTAACGCTTCTGGAACTTCAACCACGAGTTGGAGAGCTCTGGAGATCGTTGGCGCGGTGGGAGCTGGCCTGGGAACTGGCTGAGATCACCACCAGTGCCCCGTTGCCACTCGCAGCCTCGATAGCGGGGATTGTTTGCGTAGCGCTGGTACACGTTCCAATAGTAGTTCCGAGCGCGGAACAGCCTCGGGTATTGCTCGTGCAACTTGGCTTCGACTTTGGCCTCGCTCCAGCCGGTCAGCTTCGCGGTTTTCACGATGAGGAGGCCGATCGCCTCTGCAGTTTCCGATACGAGTTCGCGTTGTTCTTTCGAACGTTCCTTCAAGATCTGCATCTCTTCCACATCCTCAGCCGGGATGTCAGGGGAATTTTCGCGGGAACCAGCGGTGACGGCGTCTGCGGCGGGGGTTGCGGCGGGGGGTGAGACAGGGAGTGTGACATTGTCGTCAGCATCCATCAGAGAAGTGGCGGTATTGGTGACGGGGTCGGCGGCGGGGGGTGCGGCGGGGGGTGCGGCGGGGGGTGCGGCAGTGTCACCAGCATTCATCGTAGAAGTGGCGGTATGTGGACGGAGAAGCGAGGGCCCGGTTTCGTTGCCATAACCACTGTATTGTCATCAGTAAACACGTCAGG